TTCTCTCTTTCTCTCTTTCTCTCTTTCTGAATCTAAAAACAAATGCTAATCCTCTACGCCGCTACGCTACCTTGAGTATGCCGGTGCCCACGGTGACGTTGGTGTGCACGCTGGCTCGGTACTGCGACGCGAGGAACACTGGGGCGGAGTCCTGCTCGTCTGTCACGTACACGCTCACCGTAGTAAACCCTGCAGATAGCAGACGATGATGGTTAACACGCAGCAGCAGCAGACGACAACGATGACGATGATAACAACAATGATGGTTAACGCTTAGCAACAGACGACAATGATGACAGCAACATGTTAACACTTAGCAACAGGCAACAACTAAGATGATGACAACGGCAGTTTCAATCTCTCCACAGAGATCACGTGACTATCGGCTCTTGATATAAAACTTAAAAACTTAAAACTTTTTTTTACTTTGTTAAATTGCGTCGCCACAACAAACAAGAGAGCAATTTTCATCTCTGTAGCGAGATTGCGGAAGTTTAACACTCAGCAACAGACGACAACAAAGACAACGATGGTTACAACTCAGCAACCGATGACAACGATGACGATGACAATTACAACGACAGTTTAACAACCAAAGGCAATGCTTGCCCTACCCCTAAACAACCATGATTACGATTTGATGCATGAGAACGCACGAGTTTGCGTGAGGTGGGTAAGATGGTGAGGGGGTTGGGTGGGTGATGCTGTAAGGTGGGTGACGGGGAGTGAGGCGGATGATGTCTGAGTGGGTAGGAGCAGATAGGTAGGTACCTGTGCGTCCGCCACCATCCTCTGCCATCACGTGCAGTTCGTAATCCGTCCTCTCCTCTCTGTCCATCACCACGTTGGCCGTGATCTCTCCTGCAACGCACGGCAACACAACGGCATCAAACGACGACCGCATCGCGTTACTAACATCGACGACATGTTACAGATTGATATGTCACACTGCGCCATGATCGCACCGGCCGTGTCGTCACGTGAATATCGTGTCACGAATGATGCATCATGTCCGTCAGTAGTGAGATGACAGGCGAGAATAAGAGTATAAGAATAGAAATTCCTCACTTAGGGCTTATTTTCAGAAACTCTATGAATAGTTATGACTCCTAAATCGAAATATATTTATTAGTAAATATAATTTAACGAAAAATTTTTTGTACAACACGCCATTTAAGAAGTCGTAAAATTTTGACCTTAGACATTTTTTCATAATATGACAGCTAATATTTCTGACAACAGGCCCGTCCCCCCCGAATGTGTAAATGTGTGAATCTATCAATTAATCGACAAATCACAGATACGGAGATGCTGCTGCTGCCGCCGCTGCTCACCCGTTGCCGCGTCGATGGAGAACAGCTCCCTCTGGTGGTCGCCGACGAGCGTGTAGCTGACGTTGCCGTAGGAATCGCGATCCTCATCCTTTGCGGTTACCGTGACGACGGCCGCGCCCATCGGCTGATTCTCCTTGAAGCTGATCTGTAAGGGTGGCGGCCATGACAGTGCATTAGAGTGTGTAAAACAACCGAACAGTCACCCGTCACATACCACACGGGTGTCTTCTCATTGATTGCAATAAGTTACGCCCATGCACCTCTAACTTACTACAGTACACTAATGTCTCTGATTAAACCAAAACCAAGACTTCCTTTTTCCTAAAACAAAATGAAAATTTCGAATCCTGCTACACGCTCACTCCGTACTTGGCCTGGTCAGCGCTATAATTTAATGAAAGTGTCAATGACACTGTAGCTCACCACAAAAAAAGGAGACACAAATGAGTGAGTGAGAAGAAGTCAGTTTTAATTGAGCACCATCAACGTACAATTATAGAAACGAAGAGTATATATGGGAGAACTTCCATTATATAGCTCTTGATAAATTATGGTGTAATTTATGTGAAAAATAATGTTTGAGATGTGAAAAGTCTGAGATGAGAGCGAGTGATGGCTACACCTAAATGATCGCCATTTAACGTTTTTATAATATTTCAGATTTTAGGCACTGCCTAAAAGCAGAGCTCCCGTTGTGCACTAGCACATCCCTAACACTAACCCTAACCCTAACCCTCCCACGTAGCTGCTGCTACATGCTCTCACCTCATACTTGGCTTGTTTGGAAGACGGGAGGCCGTGTCTGTTTCGCGTCCGCGCACTACGGAATGTTGACGACAGTGAAGGCGATGTAGACTCCGGTCCGTTCCGTCACGTTTGACAGTGTACGCCGCTCCAACAACGGGCTGTTGGCAGGTCACGACAACCGATGCATGATGCGGCTGCAACAACATGCAACAATGTAATGATGATGTCTGCAACAACATGCAACAATGTAATGATCATGCCTGCAACAACATGCAACAATGTAAATGAATGATCGCCATGCAAACAACATAAATCACGACACACGTAATGACTTGCCTCTCTCTCTCACTGCCTCTCTCAATCTCACTCTCTCTCTCTCTCTCTTCTCTCTCTCCCTCTCTCTCTCCTCTCATCTCTGCGCTCTCTCTCTCGTCTCTCTCTGCATCTCTCTCTCTCTCTTCTCTCTCATCTGCTCTCTCTGCTCTCTCTCTCTCTCTCTCGCTCTCTCTCTCTCTCTCGTCCCTCTTCTCATCTCTCCCTTTCTCCCTCTCCCTCTCTCTCTCTTCCTTCCCCTCCTACTCTCCCCCTCTCTCTATCGTACCAGTCTTCTCTTCGATAGCAAACAGCTGATTCTCGTTCCTCCCCGTGATGGAGTAGAGCAGCTTCCCCCAGTCCGTCGTGTCCGGGTCGTACGCCGTCACCATGGTAACAAACTGTCCGCTCTCAGCTTCCTGTAACGAGCGGATGAACACACGTCGTTAATCGCACGATCACGCAGATCGGTGGATCGTATGTGTCGAGTGCACTCATGTACTATATCATGAGTGTATGATAGGAATATATATTCGATCTAGTATTTTATACATTACTCATTATGTGGTACGTAAATAAAATATTATAATATTAAAATATAATAATATTATAATAATATATAAATGATCTTGTTATTTTGCTTCCATTCTTTCATATGTTTCAATTGTTTGCACATCATTTCATTCGTAATTTTATTACGTTCGCTAATCAGATCATTGTTGATATTAATGAGACACAGTATAGCAGGGTGTAGGGGAAAAATATCCCGTGGCTGGTGTATACGCGCTGCATGGGGCTAGAACCAGCGAGTGACAGACGCACGCATGCACGCACGCACGCACGCAGCGCACGGCAGCGCACGCACGCACAACGCACGCAACGCACACACAATCAGATAATATGAGTGGTGTGTAGGGGTGACAAGGGTGATGACTAAACTAACCTCGTCCATCGTGCAGTTGTAAGCGAGCTGGCTGAATGCGGGCGGGTTGTCGTTGACGTCGACCACCTTCACCCACACGGTCGCCTCGCAGCTCAGCGGGGGGCTGCCCGAGTCTACGGCCACCACCAGGAGGCGGTGCAGCGTCTGTCGCTCGTAGTCCAGGTTCTGCTTCGTGTAGATGGTGCCTGCGCGACGAGGACGCAAGAGTTATCGTTACAAGCGCATGAGAGACACACACGAGGGACACACGCACACACATGATAGACATGTACCCGCATACACGCGCGCGCACACACACAGACGCACACACGCACAGAAACATGCACACACACACAGAAACAAACAAACAAACAAACACACGCACACGCACACGCACACAGTCACACATAGACACACACGCACACATGAGGGACACGCATACACACCCAGACGGACACGCAACCCCACCATCATACACACACACAAACCCACCACCCATCCCACCTACACACACACACACACACCTGCTAACACCACAGCGCCCCCTGACGGCGGTACGTACCCGTCGAGGCGTCGACGCGGAACACGTCCGTGGCGACGGGATCGTCCGGGTGCGCCTGCAGACGATAGTGCACGAGCCGATTCGCTCCCGCGTCAGCGTCGCTCGCCGTCACCGCGGCGACCGACGAGCCGACGGGCGCCGCCTCGGACGCCGCGAACACGTAGTTGGTGCGGCGGAACGCCGGCGCGTTGTCGTTGACGTCGCCGAGGGCTATGGCGACCGTCGTCTCGGCGAACGCTCCCGTCATCGTGTCGGTGGTGCGCACCGTGAGCTGGTAGCGCGGCGTCGTCTCGTAGTCGAGCGCGTCGATCACCGTGACGACACCTGTCGCGAGGAGGGGCAGTTAGTGCTGCCATCTGGCGTCGGTGTTGTTTTGTTTTTGTTTTGCTTTTTTTCGTATTTTTTTACGTTTGGTAATGGCTTTTTTTTGTTTTTTTTTACGTTTGGTAGTAATTTTTTATTTTATTTAGTTTTTCCTTTTTAGGTCGATCGATTTTGATAGTAACGAACAATTTTCATACTCGAAAAGTGTTATTTTTTTGCTACAACTACCCCGAACGAACCGCCCTACACCCATCATCACCTGCCCACCCGTTTAGCCCTCCACACTGACAGTTACTATGGTTACCGCATGCAGGTAGCAGCGTGTCAGATCCCGGTCATTAGCCACTGCCGGTGATTAATGCTGAGAGACGAGAGATACGCGAGGCGATCCGGGAATGGAACACGTAAAACGGGATCGCAAAAGTTTTGCGAAACTAACGCGGCGTAAGAGAGCGCAGGCGCCTTCGGACGAGCAGACGACATTTCACAGCATGCTAGCAGCAACTCGTGAATGCTCCCCACACGCACGCACACACACGCACGCACACACACGCACGCACACGCACGCACGCACGCACCATGCACGCGTACACGCACGCACGCACCCTAGATGCGTGCACGCGTTGTGCAGTGATATGAGTGCTTGGCTAAAACCCGCTTGGCAAACATTTTGCGCTACATACTGCACACAGCACACATGATGCGCATAGGCGGTTTGCACTAGTAACAACAGAGGACATCTGCCTGCATGCCTGTCTGCCTGCCAGCCTTACAGGCGGCCTGCTTGCCTGCCTGATCCACGCACCAGGGAAGCTAACAGGCACGAGGCACAGAGAACCCTCTCTCCTTCTCTCTCTCTCTCTCTCTCTCTCTCCCTCTCTCTATCTCTCTCTCTCTATCTATCTCTCTCCCTCTCTCTATCTCTTCCTCCGTGCACGCTCTCTCTCTCTATCTCTCTCTCTCTCTCTCTCTCTCTCTTTCTCTCTCTCTCTCTATCTATCTCTCTCCCTCTCTCTATCTCTTCCCCCGTGCACGCTCTCTCTCTCTCTATCTCTCTCTCTCTATCTCTCTCTATTGACCTTCTAATACTATACTTCTAAACTATACTACTTTCTGCCCTACCCTACTCTCCACACACGCACGCGTACACCACTAAGCCTTGCACAGTGCACAACCCGTGCCTGACACCGGCTACGAAGCAAATAAAACAAAAAGCCTGTAGAAAAACAACAACAACAACAACAACAACAACAACAATAGCAACAACAACGATGCCTAACCTAAAATCAAACAAAACAGAACAGCAAGCAAGCAAGCAAGCCATGCCGCTACAACCACCCGCGTCACCGTGAGGGAGGGGTGCCACGCCACCATGGTGCGCGCCGCCCTGCCGGCAGCGCCACCTGGCTGCAGGAACTGTTAGTAGCGAGCGCCGCTGCAAGGCGGGGAGGGTCGAAGCATTAGTGAGTAGGTGCGTCGTGGCCGCACGCACGCGCGAGCGAGCGATGGATGGGGGGAAGAAACGAAGACTCGCACGCGCGCGCACGGGCCGCGACGACACCAGCAACAACAGTTCAGGTATACGCCGAGCCAGGCTCACGCATGACCCAGCCACCACACCCTCTCCACCCCGCTCCCCCCTGCGCACCACTCCCCATGAAATCCTTTGGCCAGACGGGGGATCGACGAGCGATTTGGATGCGCTATTGTTTACGTGACTTTGTGTCGACAAATTTCGAATAGCGGCCACTACGAATAAGGAGGCGTGTTTGCGATCGTATAGGATATTACAGGTAAACATCCCGCAAATATATACGAAATTACGGGTTGAAAAAACAAGGGAACGTCTTCCGTGTGTGCGGGGGTTTCGCACGGGAGCTCTGCCGGTGTTGGAGTGCGGCATACTGGGTCATGCGTGAACTAGTGGCTCTACCTGACGGCGAGGAACAGAAGAGTGGCAGACTGAGTATACTCACAAGGGGAGTTATATTCGGTATCTGCTCGGTGACAGAAAAGAAGAAAGAAAAAATACGGTCAGAAATACTGTAAAACGAGAAAAAGAATATATATATATATATCTCTACTACGTATGCACGCGTATAACGTGCGCTATAACCATCGAAAGAAGTTGTCATCACACATTTTTACCTAGTTACTACATTATCTATTCTGTTATATTATTATTATTATTATTATTATTATTATTATTACTATTATTATCATAACCATTAATATTTATCTCGTCTGTATCATCTAACATATTATTTTAACCGGCAAGATAGTTGAAGTTAAACCTTGTTGTCTATTACAATTATCAAAAGAACTGTCTATCACCTAAAGTTATGGCATGAGTTTGCACGTCACCAAATGGTTCCATGTTAAAATGTTCAGTAACCATGACAACAGTTTGAACAGTGAACCCACATGACGACTGGCAAACTGACAGAGTTATGTAGTGTGCAGTTAAGGAATTACACTATTAGTCTATGCGCAGCCACCGAAATTAAGCACCAATATATAAATCAATATCATCAATATAGGAATCAATATCGTCAATACCTTATTGGGCCCCAACCTTTATCGACCCAACCTGCAGAATGTGGCGATATCATAGCTATTTTAACTCGAGGCTAGATGTGGGGGTCGACTCGAAAGCCTAGTCCTACTTTGACCCTCACAGCACTCACTTGTTAGTAATTTCACTATTCTTTTTTATTTGTAATCTCACGTTATAACTATCATACACCTGCTGTATTGTTAACTAAGTTATGTGCTAAATAAAGAATCTGAACCTGAATCCGGCAGCACGAATCGCTTCAGTGCCACCATTAAATTGACTACGTCAGGAATTTTCTATGGTGTATATTTGTAAAATTGTCTGTTGCATTAACGGGACTGAATGTATCGTCAAATATCTTACCTGATAAGATTGGTTTCTCACACTAGTTAAAAATCCAAAAAACCTAGACGATTTGATATTATGATCCTTGACATTAATTGTTTGCTATGGCTATGTATGAGTTACAGAGTCTATGTTTACATCGAACAATACAGTAAAATAGGAGTATAATGCAGCAATTTAACCATAAAAACGTGAACAGAATTCACTTACATTTTGTGAAATAGTGGAAATATTTTTTTTACTTTTACCATTTAAGGTGACGTAATCACTTTAACTTCTGTACTCGACTAACTAGCTATGATGCCACCAGATAGCACACCGTCTGTCTCAACAACAGCATCTTCCAAGTTCTTCTTCTTCTTCATCCTCTTGGTCCCCGATGGGACACAAGGCCGTACAATATCTCAAGTGCCGAATGTTTCCTTGATTGCAAATCTCCTGAATTCACGGCGTCGAAAGAGGTAGAGGGAACATCACAGAGGGCGCTACTCACCGATGTTGAAGTCGACGGCAAACTCGTTGTAGATGTCCGCCGTCGAGATGGAGTACATCAGCTTGCTATCGCTCGGGTGCTGCTGCCCAGACATGATGATGGGGTGTATATCTGTGATGAAGAGAGATAGAAGAGTGTGTGCTGTGGTGTGTAGGTGGGGTGTCTGGCCGTGGTGTGTGTTGGTGTGTGTGTGTGTGTCAGTGGGTTGTGTAACATGCTGGCCTCAGCCAGGCGACTATGATGAGGGGGTGTATATCTGTGATGAGACGAGAGAGGAGAAGAGGTGTGTGCGCGCACTGTGACCCTGTGTTGTGGTAGGTGGGTGTTGTGTGTGTGATGTGTGTTTGTGTGTGTTGTGTGTGTGCTGTGTAGGTGGGTGTGGAACATGCTGCGCCTGCCACGACTGATGATGGGGGTGTATATCTGCCTGATGAGAGAGAGAGAGAATGAGGTGTGCGTGCAGTGGATGGTTGTTAGGTGGGTGTGTGTGTGTGTGGTGTGTCGCGTTGCGTTGCGTGCCGTGATGGGTGTGCTGCTCGTGCTGTGTTGTGCACTGTTGTGTGTGCGTGCGTAGTGTCGGGTGCGTCCGCGTGCGTGCGTGTTGTGGTGTGTGACGTGTGTGTGTGTGTGTGTAGGGTGGGTGGTGTGTCGTGCGTGGTGTGTGTGTGACTGATGATGGGCGTGTCAATCATGTGATGAGAGTGAGAATGAGATCAACACATGTCGTTGTGCGGTAGAATAGGATGGCTTGGTTGTGTGTGTGTGATGTGGTGTGTGTGTGTGAGTGTGTGTGTGCACAAAAGCCACTCGCTTGCGTGCGTTGCGTGCGCTGCCGTGCCGTGCGTGCCATTACTGAACCCGTCATTACAGGCCTGTAATACGCAAATGGGCTTGACCCGCTGTTGAGGTGTCCGTGTGTGTGTGTGTAGCCGGTGGGTGGGTGTTGTGTGGACCGGTAAAATTAACAAACAAGCCCTGTCAATAGCTTATTAAGGTTAAATCAGTGCCACTGTGTGCTCAGACACTTGTTATGATCTATGTGCTGAACTACCGTTCACCCTATCATCTGTGATGGAGAGTGAAGAATAAGCATCAAAACATGGTGTGCTGCGTAATCAGGGTGGTTGGTTGTGAGTGATTACTTTCGAAACATGTATCATTAGCAATGTAGAATTAGAGAACGTTATCTCATATAGCATCGCGAGTCATGATAGGGTAAATACACTTTCTACCAGTCTATGAACCCGTACCTACAGGCCTGCTTAGCGTCCGCAATATGGGCTGATGCGTGCCGCGCGTTGTTGGTGCGAGTGTATTTGCTAATTAATTAGGTAATTCAGTGTAGTTCTGATGTAACTTAAAACTTACAGTGTGAGTGTTATAGCTAAGACCATGTCTCATTTAGGCATGGATAAGATGTTAGAATAGAAACGTTATCTCATATAGACCGCGAGATATTCTGAGTTCGTAGGTGTATAAGTACACTTTTGCGCTAGCCGATTATATAAACCGTACGACAGGCCCTGCTGTATACGGCCAATCGGGGCTTGCGGACGCGCGTGCATATTTGGCTAATTGTGATCGTGTTTGTGGTGTGTGTTGGTAATTCGGTGATTCGTGTGTGGTGCCAGGTCAATTAACTCTGCATGAAACTTGCTTATCTGCTGAGGTTGATGTAGTAGCTAAGACACGCGTCTCATGTTAGTCGCATGTGTTGATGCATTTGTAGTGAACATTTGGTTGGTGAATGCACAATCTATACTCGGCAACTCTTCGTTTCGTGCGGCAGAATATGCGCTACTAATACCGCCAGATCAGGCGATTACCGCGCGTCATACAGCTCAATTAATTTAGCTGGGGTTATATCGGTGGCGTTAATTAACTCTGAAACTCACACGTGACTTACGTTCTAAGAGCATTGATCATCATTAGGCCATCTAGAAGTATAGGAAACGTATCTCATATAGATCGCGAGATATGATAGGAAATCACACTTTCCCTACCGATTATATAAACCCGTCTACAGGCCTGTATATCAACGCCTATCGGTTTCGGACGCCGCGTGCATTAACAGCTCAATTAATTATGGGTATTGTATACTGTGAACGTATAGCTCCTAGTACTTAAGAGCCGCAGGATCGCGCCCTGCCGCAGCGCATCCTGCGGGCCCTGCTGCTATA